TGGAGTGGCACAGCATTAATTAGAGCTGCTGTTGGCATCTTCCAGGGGACTTCTTAGGGTGGGAGAATATGCTCCAGCTCAGCTGCCCTCAATGCACCTGGGCTGGCTGAAGTAAGAGGCAGTGGGTTTGCATGTTGAGGAAGGATTATCTTGTGTTTAACACACAGACACCTAAGAGAGGAGAGATTTCTATTCTAAAATAGAAGAGCACCTTGGGGTGTTATGTCATGTCAATTTCTATATATTCCCTGGATTTGCTGGAAGGAATACACATGGGGGCTCTTTGCCAATATGTAGTTTTACACATCTCCCAGTGAACTCAGATTCATGCAGCAACTGGGGACTTCAGAGAGAGTTGTGAGATTTTCTGGGGGATTTGGATTGGATTAGATTTCTCAAGTCATATGGGGGTCTTGCTAGGACATGTTATAAAGATGGATTATAAATTGTCGTTTGGGAAAATGGTGTTGAATCTACTACCTCCCACCCTTCTCTCTTTTTGGAAGTGTGTGTCTTGAAGGTGTTTTTCAGTGGAGTTTGTGGACAGATCGGGTGGGCTGTAACAACCCAAAATGTTTCCCGTGTGTGGAAAAGGGCTGGACAAGGTGTGTCTTGGAATCCTCCAGCAAATTCCTCATATAGACGAACACTGTTGCATGAGCTGGGAAGTTACAGGTCCTGAAGGGCTTAAAAACATTTACAGCCTGCAAGGGAGTGAGCAACAGTGACTGTGGCAGTGTAAAAACATTGCAAGCCCACAGGTTGGATGATGAGTTTTCCGTGAGGGTGTGCTCATGTCTGTAAGACAAGACACAGACTTGTCCTGAGGGTGCTTCAGGCCTCCCAGGAACTGGAGTCCTCAAAGCCAGCTGTTCATGTCAAAGTGGTGTAACCATTGCTCCATTTATAAAACCCAGCAAGCACTGACCAAATTGTAAATTTTTTGTCATTTACTCAGCCAGACTTTTTCTTCTCTTTCGTTAACTTTTGGGTTACTACTACATTAGCTGCTATTGCTTGACATCAAATTTAGTAGCATGGTTTGTATTTTTAAATACTTAGTGTTGTTATGATGTCTCTCTTTCTATCCTCTCCTTTTCTCATAGAAAAAACAGCAGAGAAGTTTAAGGAATTCTCTCAGAATTACACAATTTTTTTTTCTGAGAAAGTATGTATTATTTTTAGTATCATTTAAACTTTTTTTTTCCCCTCCTTTGCCTATGTTTTGAGACACATATTGCTGTTCTTTTGCCCTTTCCCAGCTGCCTGGAGTATTTTTAAAAAAATAGTTCAAGAGGGCATTGCAGACTTGTTAAATCTGAATTTTGGCAGAAAATTTTAAACTTTTGCTATAGCACTTCAAAGTTAGGAGGAACTAGAGTTTGAAAATTGATGCAGATATAAGATGGCATATTTAATGACAGATGTATCTATAGAAACCTGTTAAGATGCAGATTATCCCCCTGAGGAGGGGAGATCAAAACTGCCAATCTATAAAATATACTTGTTAGGGGAAGGCATGGAATCTATCTCTGTGAGCACTTTGATTGCAGGGGACAGTGTAGCAGCATGTGGCATCATAACCTAAGAGCAGACAAATCAGCTTGATGACTTTCAAAGCCAAGAATACTGCTGGAGGCAAGGGTACTCCAGTCTAGAAGAAATTAAAACATATAGAGACTGTTATTAATTCCAGATCTATTTTTGTGTAGTCAAATCTGTATGCAAATCCTTAGCATCTCATTTTGGCAGATTAATCTAAAAGTGAAGAGCAATATGTGAAGGGAATGTAATGACAAAACACCAGAGAGGAGCAATATTGCAGGGGAAAAGATGTAAGCTGTGTACTTGATGTGAGGGGCTCTTTGTGAAGAGAAGCAAATAATTTTGCTTATTTGATTATTTTATTATTTTACGAGGAAGCAACACCCTTCTTTCTCTTCTTTCTCTTCTTCCTTCACATCTTTCGTCCCAAATTAAGCTGTCCTTTTGGAATGGAAATACATGACCCAGCATTGTGTTTCTGATGTGTCTCCTGTAGTTTAACGTTCTGGAGGTAATCATCCAAATAACTATGATTTTTATTTTTCAAAATGCTAATCTGACATCTCATTTTAAACATTGTGCTGGGAGTGAAAATAACTGTATGTAAAAGAAAATCAAATTACAAAACAGATATTAGAAAAGATGGGTTTGTGCGTGTGGCTGATGGCCACTAGGACTGTGGAGGCTGCACAACAGTGTAGAGACAAATAACAGATTGTGAGATTAGACACAGGAGCAGTCATTGGTTTCCAATGCCTGTTCTCGTGTGTGCACATCACAGGTTCTGTGTTGAGCAGGGTGCAGCACAGTGTGATGGAAATGGTTTGCAAAGGCTGCATCTCATCCTAGCTCTCTCTGAACCTGTAAGTGTCTCTGAGCTGGGAGTTTGTGCCATTGTCCATGTCAGGCCCAGCACAGGTTGGTGCTTGCTGAGATACACCCAAGTAACAGCATTATTTCTCCCTACTACTGCAGCTGAAGAGGACTCTAAAATAGATACATCCATAGTTTCTGCTATCCATTGATCAAATTCTCAGCCTCACTAAAATTATTTGGAGTAATCAGAGGGTACTTCTATGTTAGCAAGTAGCTCAACCCAGTAGGAGCAGATCAGCACTAAACTTTGGTTCCGAGTTCTTTATATTTATTCCATGTACATTTTCACATCTTTTGCTTTGGACTAGATTTGTTCTGGTCCTTTGGCCCAAATGTTCCCAGTACTAAGATGGAACAAAGCTATTCAAAAGACCAGTTATTATTTCACACTCTTATGCCACCATTAAGAAGTGAAGCACAGCTGGTGCAAATCTGGAACAGAGCTTCTGGTTTAACTTCAATGCACACCCGTCCGAACGTACAGCCTAAAAGAACATGTGAGAGGTGGGGAAGTTGCTTCAAAATCACAGTATGGCTCTGAACCAAAATGCTGTCCTAGCTGCAGCTGGACACTGGCAAAATGAGGATTCCCCAGCATGGAGCTTGGAGATAAAAGAAAAAAAAAAACCCAGCAGCCTTAGTGGGAGTAGCTATAGCTCATCCAGCAGGAGTGAGTAGTAGGAATTAGTAGCTGCATAATAGCTTATTGTATGATTGGTGTTGTAGGTGTCAGTCATCTTACTGGTATAATGTTAAGTATAGGTGGTAGAGGTTAGACAAGATGGAGTTCTTGTCATACCTCTAAAAGGGGGACTGATGTCTATGGATTTCTTTTATTTTTAGCTTTTTGTAGATTTTAGAAGTAGCTGTAGTTAGTTCACCCTTTAGCACAGTAGTTTACACATTTAGCCATCCCTATTACCCCATTTCATATTGAACTATCTAAATTCCTGTAGCTTGTTTAGACTTCCCTCAAGGTAGGCCTTCTTTCTGTTTAAGAACATTTGCACCCTGGCTTGAACAACAAGATACATCATAGTCAAAGCATTCTTCAAAACCCAGAATTTTGGAGGAGCTCCAAGGACTGGATGTGCTGTGACGAAGAGGAAGATAAGGAAGAGGGGGTCCCAGAACCCCCTAACTCAATTGCCAAAGAGGCGTGCCAAGGGCAGAACTGGGAGGAACTGGGGAGCAGATAAATCTGGGATTGGTTGGGATAATACCTTAAATTGTGGAACTCCCTGGACACAAGGTGCATCGTGTGTATTTCCCTGGGCCTAAGAGCCTAATTAAAGGACCTACTTGTCTTATCTTATATACTAAATTGGCCTGGAATTTTTTTCTCTGGGATCTTTTGAGGCGTCAGTTTGGCCATAGCTCAGCCAGCAGGAATGAAAATCACTGTGCTGCTGACCTGACTGAAACAGAAGAGAAGCATCAACAAATGCAATGACAGATGAAATTCGTTCTTCTCATTGCTGTGGATTTTGTCCACTATTGGCACGTGCCATTAAAACTCTAATATAAAACGTTTGTCAGTATGAGTCGCACTGGTGTGTGGCCAGTGGCATGCCCTAGTTCTGCCCAGACCTCTTGGTAGGATGAAGGTGAGGTGCAACTTGCAGGTGTTACATCTGGTCCCACCTTCCCATGGGCCCAGGGTGGTGAGAGAGGGGGACTGGGACCTGTGACAGTGCTGCAGTGACACAGTTTTCCCAGGAGGTTTGAGCACACTCAAGAACATGTTTGCACAGGTAAGATTACAGACTTGACACTGAAGTTTTCCATGTTTACTCAATGAGATTTGCCTTTTAAAAATAATGGAGAACAGGATGATTGGGCATTAAACATCTGTTTACTGTGTCGAGGTAAATGGTTTGCAGCATCTATTTGGGTCAGACTCTATTCTGAACTTCTCTGAGGTGCTTTATACTTTGCTTTCTGACTGTTATTGGAAAGTAAGTGGTAGACCAGTTTCTGTCACTATAGAGGAACCTTCCAACCTAAGTCTACAACTAAACCAGGAGATACTCTCTCTACAAACTAAATATAGGATTTCTTTCAAATATGTAGGTGAGCTCAGCTGCACACATTTCCTCCATGCTGTCCAGCTGGCAGTGGTATCCCACATCATGCTCCTGGTTAGGCAGAGCTTCTCTCTGACCTCTTTCTTCTCTTTGATGCAAGCCCACCACCTCCTCCTTTTTAAACTGTCACACTCTGCACACTCCTTGGAACAGGGATGGGTTTTATCTTAGTGTCTTGACTAAGGCTGAATGCACAGTCATTTAAAAACAGATCAGTTTTTATCTCGTTTTTAGCCCACAGAATTAGCTTTACAAAGGAAGTGTGTGTAGGGTGTTAATTGTTGCTATTCTGTGTTTCTATATGTTTGACAAATAGGGCCACTTATTACCTTGTAACCAGATTAAAAAGTGCAGTGGGAGTAAGCAGAAGTTGTGGCACTTAATGTAATTATGTCAGCAAATGAACTCTAGAATTGGTTGTTTTGCTGTATCTGATCTCGGTCCTGGTTTTGCTTATATGAAAAAATATAACTTGTATAAACTCTTTCGTAGGAGGAGTAACAAATACTGCACAGTATCAAAACAGGCTCATGGTCTATGATCCTAAGCAGGTGGGTATCTGTGCTGTATGTTTTTTCTCAAATGTTTTGCTTTAAACAGGTCTCCTGGCAAATACATACAATGATTTGTAAGGCTAAAAGCCTGACCATTTGAATTAGTGGTATTTAAATTCACTGGGTACTGATGTGTGAATTTAACAGAGTAATGGAGACCCTGATGACTTATTATGTTTTTTAAGCCTGTAGGCATTAGAACCATCTTAGATTAAACACAGAAATGTGCTTTAAATCCCCTGTATTTGTCACTATTTATTTTGCTTGTTCATTTTTTTTTGTAATCCAGCAGCCATGGGCGACATATACTCAAAGTCAGTGTCCCAAAACCGCTACGTGTCATTGGCATTTCTGCTTTGAATTGCATATATGAGCCTTTTTGTTTCCCGTATATTTTGAGAACTGTACTACCTGGCTGTGACTTACTCTACTGCCTGCAAGGGTGCCTATCATTTCATTACCCAAGCACCTAAAATATCTTTTAGGGATTATTTCATACATTATGTATGTGTTTTGATTAGGTTAGCATGGCTCAGTAACCATTTCAGAGGGTTAGGGCATGGTTATGCCCTCTTGCTTGTATTAGGAATTAAAAGTCCTAAGCTTGCAATCAGAGTCGCGTAGCCTGATTTACACCCATGTGGAAGATTTTGACTTTGCTGATTGTAGGATAGGGGCTTTGATTGCTGTATTTGGAACCAGATTGTGCCAGGAGATGCTTCTATGTGGTTCCCACTGACTTTTTAAAGCATAGCATGACTTTTTAAAGCATAGCCTGAAGCAGAAAGCAGGCGATGGCACACGTGCCTCTTTCTTTTTGAGGTGCAGTTTTATGCATTGATTGTACAAATGCTGATTGTCCTAAATCCAAGTAGTAATTACAGGCAGCAATCTTATTTTGCTTATGAGGGGTACACATACTTAGATACTGTGTCTCTATTGTGTATCTGACACTTAGATTCTTTACTTGCTGATGTAAAAGTTGCACCCCAGAATACCAGTGGCAGGGCTACTTCAGCGTGCTGTGTTGACAGTGAGAAAACCGGCCTGGCATGTAAAGAGTTACAGAGGAATTGTGTGCCTGCATTCTTCAAATGAGGTCCGCTTCGTGTTTGTACACACAAGCTCTTTTTAAAAATTCAGCTGGCATATTGTTTACGGTGGGTACTGGAAACCATCACATCTGCTTGCATCTCGCACAGAATCTCAATAACTCTATCATTCAGCACCAGCGTTTGCTTCTGCGCGAGGCCTTTGTGGCGAGTCGATAATGCCTGCCATCTGCCACAGAGCACACAGCTACCTGCCAACAAGCCGGCTGGGGTGACCTCTGCTTCCCCACCACTGATTAGTATTCACACATCGGCTTATTAGAAATGACCCCACCAGGCCCCTCTGTTTCTTTGCCTTTGCAGTGCTTTGCGGCTCACCTGGCAGGCACTGCAGTGGAGGAAGCTAAAGATATAATCAGGGGATGCAGGCAGGCTTTCCAAAGCAGATGGTGTCTATAGTCTGGTGTTAAGAGACTGGACTACTAATGCAATCATTAATGCCTAATATTCAACTACTACTACACATTGAAATGTGTAGCTATATATTGTGGAGGTTAAAAGGCAGAAGTTTTAGAGGCTCTTGAGTTACCACAAGTGGTAGCACATGTATCACAAAGAATTTCCTCACAGATTTTAACTTCCTCCACTTAAATTAATCTCATCTGTTGCCAGGTTGTTTGATTTGGTAAGCATAGCAGGAGCAATTTTTTTCTTAAGTTTAAATACTGTGCTTTAATCCCTTATCTTCCATGTCTTCTCGCCTCTCCCCATAGCAGGTAGAATTCTTGAATATTGTTAATGAGTAAGAAAAATATGCAAAAGGATGTTACTTTGTAAGTTTCCAGAAATAAAGGGTTAACATTAAACCAAATACGTTAATCATTTGAGAAGATTCTTAGGAAATTATTTTTCCTTGTTGCTTCATTCTCCAAGGATAAGATCAAATAAGCTTCTGAATAAAGAAACGTAGAAGAATCTCTCGTCTCATAACAGAGCTCATTGGTACAGATAATTGTAGCACTATATACAAAGCAGGCATCTAATAGTCTGGCTTAAGTAGCATTTGCTACTGAGTTATAAAGGAAAAAAATACTTTTGAAACCTGATGATCTAGACAGAAATAATACAGAGCAAGAAATATTATTAAATTAATGAATTTAAATGTGAGAACTGTAAACCACATGTTGAAAGTCCAGTACATCTAGTCAGTGTTATAACCAACACACATGTCTAATATGTGAACAACACAAATATATGCATTTGTGATTCCTGACCAAGGGTAAGAAGAACATCAGTAATGTGCTACTGTTTATTATACTACTAATACAGGTGTGTCTGAGCAGTGCTGAGACAAGTTCTCTCTTTCTCTTTCCAGAACAAGTGGTTAAGCCGTAGCCCAATGTTGCAGAGGAGAGTGTATCACTCCATGGCAGCTGTCCAAAGGAAACTTTATGTGTTAGGTGGGAATGATCTTGACTACAACAATGATCGGATCCTGGTCCGGCACATAGACTCCTACAGCATAGATGCTGACCAGTGGACACGTTGCAACTTCAACATGTTGACAGGTGAGTATTGCACACCAAAAGAGGAACTTGCTACTATTGAAGAGAAACATCAGTTCTTTTCTCTTTAGACGCCTTTAGAATTTGGAACTACATGACTTTGCTACAATTGCTTCTGATTTATGGACCATCGTCAGCCAACAAGACATTTTGGATTACAGTTCTGGCACTGAGTGGTCTACAAAACCTTTGTGTTAGCACATTGTACACTAAATTTTTAAGAAAGTGCACATAAATTTAATTTAATGAAGCAGTAAAAAATAATTTGTCATAATATTACCACTACTGTTTTTTGATTCTCCAGAAGCTTGCCTGCAGTCATAGATTTAGCTCCCTGAATGTACAAGAGACTGATGCATCTCTACCATAATTTTGTAGTACTTTCTGCTGGAATTATAGGGCAAAGATTTCACTCAAATTCATTAACCCTCACTTACTTCTAAACAGTATCTTCTTAATCAAATACCCAAAAGGAGGTGTCCTTGTTTGAATTCTGTCATCAGGAATGAGTTAGTTAGCTGGAGTATCTGTAAAGTTCCTCTTGACTTTCACTAGGAAGAACTGTTACAGTCAGAACTTGCAAAGCACTGCAACTCACTGTTCATGCCATCCAGTCCACCAAAGTTCACCTCCACCTGATACAATTCCCAGATGTACTACCCCCTTGAATCCCTGGGGATTCATAAAGTCATAAAGTCATACAATTCATTCATAGAGTCATAAAATGGTTTGGGTTGGAAGGGACCTTAAAGATTGTTTATTTCCAACTCTCCTGCCATGGGCAGGGACACCACCCACTAGACCGAGTTGCTCAGACCCCATCCAACCTGGCCTTGAACACTGCCAGGGATGGGGCATCAACCTACTCTCTTTCAGTTTGAATCTATTCCTTTTGTCCTGTCACTACATGCCCTTGTAAAAAACCCTCTCCAGCTTTCTTGTAGGCTCCCTTCAGGTACTGGAAGGCCACAAATAGGTCACCCTGAAGCCTTCTCTTTTCCAGGCTGAGCAGCCTTACCTTGTAGGAAGAGGTGTTCCATCCCTCTGATCATCTTTATGGCCATCTCCGGACTCACTCCAACAGTGAGTTGTCCTTCCTGTGCTGAGGTCTTCAGAGCTGGATGCAGCACTCCAGGTGGAGTCTCACCAGAGTGGAGTAAAGGGGCAGAATCACCTCCCTCGACCTGCTGGCCAGGCTACAAGACGGGCACGTGACACATTCTTAGAGTAGCACCAACAGTAGCTTTGCACAAAAGGTTGGATTTCCAGGATAGCACAGCATTAATGTTGTGGCCATTCTCTTGTGCAGCAAACTTGAAGCTCAATTAGTAACTACTGGCTGCCAAAAAGTTTCAGCTCAGACTGCTGTAGGAGTCCTACAACTGAGCCTACCTCACTTTTCAACCTTTTTTATTTGGCATTGCGATAATTTCTGAGATCTACCACTGAAAACGATACAAAGGCTGTAGGAGCCTAACTTAGAAGCTCAAGGTAACTAGAAACGCTGTGTCAGAGAGATGAATGTCTGACAAATAAAGCAGTCACCTTAAGCCATTTTCTGCCTGGTGGGTTTAAAACTGCTCTAGTGGCAACTTTGTTCTTTTAAGATATTGCACAGGGTTTCTTCATTTCTGAGATCTGGAAAAGGGTTGCTTGGTTTCCAAGTCAGGCCATTATAGAGTTCTTGATGAACACTGAGAGGCACAGATTAAAAAGGAGTTACACACTGTCAAATAGAACCAGTTTTTCATCTCTCTTTTGCTCACTAGTTAATTATTTTATTATCTGGAGGAACTGACAGCCTTTGAGAAGGATGTCATCTGATTTGCAAGTGCAAAACCCTGGCACCACAGGTGCCCTCATTCTGGAGCTGACCCCTGTCCTACTACAGATAGCTGCCTCTCCTTAGCCTGCAAGGTTGTTTCCACAACCTGCACCTTGAGAAGGCATCTAAGCCTTTCTTTCTGTCTGTGCAACTGGCAGTAAATGTGCCTGTTGCCCTGTGTAGTGCAGATTTTTCTAAGGCTGTATTTATCCTTCAAAACTCCCAAACTTGTTCAGGAGACCGTTGCTATGGGGATGAACTTGAGCAGCAGCTTCTGCCATTTTCACCGTGCTTGTACCTGGAGGAACGGTGGGGGTGAACAGGTGTGGGCAGCACATGAGGGGCCCTCGTCACTCTCAGCCTCTGTGTCTGTTTGGATGTTCATGTCTGATGGTAGCTGCGAGGCAGGTAGAGGCTGTGAAACGTGTATGCAAACCAGTGCCATTGAGAAAGGAGTAGACGGTCCCTGCACTGCCACATTATTGCTCATCTGGGACATCTCTGTGCAGCACTGTACAGGGCTCCTGTGTAGAGCAAGGAACAGCCCTCACGCTTCACCTTCGCTCCAACATGTTGTGAATTCTGAAACAGTCAAGTTACTGCCAGGTGCATTTGCATCCTATTACAGAACTCCAACATTTGGTGTTCAGAGGGTTAATTAAACACTGAAAGTGGTTTCTATTTCCTTCCTTGCTTTAGGTCAAAATGAATCTGGAGTTGCTGTCCACAATGGTAGAATATATTTAGTTGGTGGCTATTCGATTTGGACAAATGAGCCTTTGGCATGTATCCAGGTGAGTGATTTATGCTTCTTTTTAAAGTCTTTTCCAATAATGTCACAAGGATAAGTTTTGCACAGAGGTTATTAAAAAAGGAAAATATATGTGAAGTGGAGAGATTAAGGATATTTCTTATGCAGCCACTGAACCTGCATAAACATGGAGAGGAAATACTGTGGATATTAAAAATACTTCCAGATGAGCCAAAGATGCAATTCCTATGAGATATTCCAGTAAACCAGGGTTGAGTTGTCTTTCCTTTGGCAAGGTTTGGATAAAATGACGTGTATATAGTCACAGCTTACACAATCAGGTTCAAAAGAAAAAGGGTTGCAGAAATGGATGACAGGGCATGGGCTGAGAATTTTTCAGCCCGTCTTGTGATTTATTTTTTTTTCTTTCCAAGTCGTGTTTCTGAAGGGCAGCCAGAGTTAACGAGTTGTTCATTGACCACGTTCAGTCAGCCTGCAACCTGCCCTAGGACTGACTGCTTTAAAGCTTCAGTGGAAGGTTTTTGATCTTTGCTGTAGGCAACAGGTTGTCCAACAAACTCTTCTGCTCTCTCATCTTGTATAAGAGCAGCTCACCTACAGATCCATGGCTTTCTGGTATTCCTGTAGAGAAGTTAGGAATTCTTACCTTTCTGCGTGTTCCTGAGTGAAGCAGTTCTGCATTACAGCCATCGCTTTGTGACCAGCTGGGCAGTTACAGACAGAAACTCTTGTTTTACATCTCAATTTCTCCCCTTTTGCTGATAAAGAACATTTTCATTAGCTTCCAACTTTTGGTGGTTTAGGATTTCCCCTCCAAACTGTCCCCATAAGACTACAAGTAAGGCTTAGCATAAGAAAGGAATACTTTAGGATGCAAGCTGCTGGTCTTCTAATGAGTTCGTAAAGGGTAGATCATGCAAGATAAACAGTTAAAAACATGTTCTGGTCGTAGTATAATTGTGTTTTACTAAGTTGTTGGATACTATACCTAACAATTTGTTGGAAAAAGTCATTCAGACTGGCTTTGCTAACACTAGCTGACGTACAGTGCTTTAGGTGGAGTAATAGCGCAGTACAGAGGTGGTGGCTGTACTCCACCTACGGGCTCATTTATAATCAACAGGTACTTTACAGCATTGCACCTGGGTTTAAATGCGGCTTAGTGACAAGTAAAAATGATCCTGGGATCTTGCTGTCTTAAATGGACATTTGTCCACATCCCCAAACTAGTTGTGAACTGGCAGCCTGCCTGACAATTCCCACATCAAAGGGAAAAGCCTTATAATGAGTGATTTGGCAGAGCTGTGTGTGCTGCCCCTTCTCAGCTGCTGGCAGAATGCCTGGCTTTAACCAGCATAACTAGCCCTTTTATGTTCAAATTGAGGTTGTTTTCTCCTTTGGAAGAAAAAAAATCTGCTTTTCCTATATACCTTTACTTTCTTTAAGTCAGTCATTTATTTGGCATTTCTATCTTCTATAGAACTGCCGTGGTCCTTATATACCACCAAAGCTGACAAATCATTTCTGCTCTGTGCCAGCAGGAGCCCTTCTGTGCAGAGTAACCCACTTGCATGGCTGCACATTCTGCTGCCAGACAGCAGGATCCAGTGTCACTGTTTGCTGCTGAGTGCCTGAGCACTCAGGTTTTGGTTTGGTTGATAAAGACAGCCAGTGGATCACTAGAGCACCAATACAATCTAAAACTTATCTGAAACTACCTTTCTGTTGGGATTAATAGTGCATACACGTGGTGTGTGCCAGCACATTTGTTTCAGCCTTCTTTTGTGATCCTGAAAATATTTTGCATGCTTTGACCTGCAGGTGCTGGATGTTAGCAAGGAGGGGAAGGAAGAGGTATTCTATGGGCCTACACTCCCCTTCGCTTCCAATGGAATAGCTGCGTGCTTTCTTCCAGCTCCATATTTCACATGCCCCAACCTTCAGACTTTGCAAGTGCCTCACCATAGGATTGGCACAATGTGAGACACTCCTTGCGCTTCACAAAATCAGAAGTGGAGGGGGAAAGCATCAAACCCTGTGTATAGAAGGGTTTCTCTGGGTCAATGAGAAGAATCAATCTACACGGACTGCTGCTTTACCATCACACATTTGTCTTAAGGTCAGATCACAACAAGCAGGAAGGACACTACAAAAACTGTCTGCAGTTTCTCTTCTCTGCCTCAGATGTAGAAGCACATTACATGAGAGTGTTTTTGGCATTTTTGCTGGTGACTACTTGCTATGTGTCTACTTCATTTCCTTATGCAACTTTGTAAGGCATTGTGGATGCTCTCAGCTCCTTCTGGGATGCTCTTTTTTGGGGTCTTTATGTTCAGTTGTTCACCAACGGCACTTTCAAAGATGATAGAAAGCTCTGTTTATGTTGATAAAGATGATATCATACTCTGGCAATTATGCAACTCACTTGATACCTTTGGCAAAAAGAATAACAAATGTGTTGACTTCCAATTCCGAACTCTGTCGTTTACAATTTCTCATGTAATAATACTTCATTTTAAATTTAAATACTTCAAAACAGATTAAAACAAAGCAAAAAAGCAAACAAGCCCTATAGGATATGGGGAACAGATAAAAATTGTCTCAGCTGAAAGAGAAAGAAACTGGTGCCTCATGGTTAAACTCAAGTCTGAACTAAATTTGTTTGTCTGAGAATCTAAATATCGTTTGGGATGTCATTTACCAAGGTCTGCTATCAAATAAATGTTACCTTCTGTCATATGATCAATTCTTCCTGACAGCTGCAGTCTTTTAATGGTGGAGATCAGCCTCTTTACTGTATAATTAAAATGTGCCATTTACTTAATATTTTTAATATCCAGTTTGCAAGGGGTCACCACATTTACAATTATCAATGAACAGTCTCATTTTGTCCAACATATGGTCCCACAAATCACTGGTCTCCAGAGGCTAAACAGGTGTAGAATAATGTCAATATTTATTTATTTATTCTTTCCATTTATATAGTGTGTCTCCATTCCATTCTCCAGGCATATGCCAGCTCACAACAAATACTCTAACCTGGTATATTTTGGCTTTGCTGGGCTACTGCAGCCCCTGTCTCTTATTTCTGTGTTTTATTTACATAGCTAACAAAATTTTCAATGTTTGTAAATATTAACCAAGCATGTTATTAAATCTTCCTCTATTTCTGATTTATGGGTAGTCTGCACTTCTCTGCTTTACCTACTGATCAGCTCCCTGCCACTGCGGTCTAAGCAGACCTGTCAAATTCCTGATGCTCCTGCAAATGCCACCTGCAGAATATGCTGTGGCAGTAGCCCACGTGTGCTGCACAGGAAGAGGTTTGACTTTGTCCAGGGAGCAGTGTTTTCAAATCAAATGCATCTTTTCACTTCCAAGGGTCTGGTTACAGGGAAGTAACTTTATCACCATTTCTGTCTCCTGCTGGGCAGTGTACTCACGGAACATCACCTTTCCTTTTCCAGTACTTATCAGGTTAGAATGTTTTATGGGTTTTTTTTGCTAAGCTTTCTCACTCTCATTGCCTAGAGAAGAGGTGCAGCTGCACTGTCTTTGCCTGTTGCGCTGACTTGAGTTGCTAACATTGTCTCCCTCTATGCACCAAGCAAGCCTACATCCAGGCAGTACTTTTCTCTATACTGCATGAAAGCTGTATATATAGGCTGTACATCAAGATATATTTTAGTTTCTTGGTTTAATTTGTTTGATCTCCTGAAAATCCGCATGCAAGGGACAGCTCTCCTAACAGGCCATTTACAATTTAGAAATTGTTTTCCTGTGTGGGCTGCAGGGCCCAACGCCTGCAAGTATTCAAACTTTGACTTATGTGTAGTTTTCAGGGATACAAACATATTACGTCTCATTCTCAAGAGGAGGGCGGCTAAAATAATCAAAACGTGTGTGCAGGGGCTTTGAGCCTCACCCTGGAGGTATCACACCAGGTAGGTGATCAGCTTTTGCTCTGGGGGCAGAACTGACATATACTTCCCATTTTGTAGGTGGTGGGAGGATTAATTTCTCAGCCTTTGTAAAGCCCAGTGCACTTCTGGCAATAGTGCAAAGTATGAATTTGTATGCCTCAACTTAGTTTGGAGGCCGTTATTTCTAGGCCTCATAGCTTACCACAGCTCCAGCTATGGCATAATTCTAAACTGCTGCTCCTGGAGAACAAGGGGAGGGATTACGATGGATCTGGCCAACTGGGCGGTGACAGAAAGCAGCAACAGTGACCCGCATTTGAGAAGGAGGGGGGGGCAGCTTCCTTATGCAAAGCAGCATGTGCCTCTTGGTTCGAGGTCTGAAAGGCAAGAAAGTTATTTATCATGTTTGTTCTGCCCTTTAGACGCTTTTACTGCTCCACTTGTTATCACCAATTGTCTGTACTGTGAATAGCAGTTTTAAACAGCTGTGCAATCGCATTATATTAGTCAGGGGTACCTCTGCCACAGAGCCTCAGGACAACACATATGCTCTTATTAGTGTCAGGATTCTGCTCTGGCTCTTAATCATCCGGCTCCACTGATTACTGACAAGTCCCTCTTAGCCTCTAAGTTTTTGTGCCACACTTTCCTATCTGTGTCCTTTTGCTTTTGTTGCAGGACCTACAGGACAGAGGGGGATGCTTTACTGCATCTTAAATCAGAAAATGCCACATAGCCCTTGGCAGTTGAGCAAAACCTGGTTAGTTATTGCCAGGTAAGAAAAGGACGGTGTGGATGCAAGAGCAAACAGAGAGCATCGTGCTGTGGCTGAGGGGTCTCAGCTGGGGAGGAGCTAGGGTGGGAGAACAAGGATGGCTTCACCTGCCACCTGCCGCTGTGCAGGACTCCAGGTGGCAAAGGCTGCCCAGTGAGCTGAAGGTTCTCAATCACCATGTCCTCATTTTGCCATCTTTCCACTGAGTGTCTCAGGCTTCTGAAACTGCCACAGTTGCAGGTTCCTGTGTGTGAGCTCCAGATCTGCCTCTAAATTTTGTGCCATTTTTGGCAAACATACAACTCTGAACCCAACCTTTGTCCCTACCCAGCCTAGTGTTTTGGTACATACCTCTGACATGCAGTTTAGCTCAGTTTTTCCACAAAACCTTAAAGCTGTCCAGAATAAGAATATTTCCATACTTGCTGGTTCTGTTACAGAGAGTCTGATCAGCACAGTGTGAGAGCTGATGCCAACACAAGTCTTTCATCCAGCTGGGAGTGTGCAAGGTAATGGGGCAGTTTGCAACCAGGGGGAACTCACAGTGCTTCAGGGAAGGTGTCCTTACAAGTCAGTAATGTAGCAGCAGTTACTGACTGCCGAGTTTGGAAGACAGTGTAATTCCGTGCCCCGAAGTCCTTAGATTTACACATTACAGCTAGTTAAATTTGCAGCTAACACTTTTGGGCCACAAGGTCCTGAGAGCTGTACTAAAGAGCTGTTCCCTGATCTCCTCTTTTGGGCCACTCCCATAATTAGCAATATTCAATCCTTTATATAGCATACTTAACGTTTGAGTCCTAAAATGTGTTAACAGCTCTTCTTAGCTATAAATAACCACAAAGACATCAGCTGCTTTGTGCTTTTCATCTAAAAAATAACCAGTTTGCACAAGCAGCAGCACCAACAGCGTCTTCTGCCCCTTTAGTGTCTCTTGAGCATTTCACACCCAAGTGCTGACAAAAGACAGACTCACATGTTATGAGCCAGTGTGCAACAATTCCGTTTCTGTGCAGTAATGGTTTTGTAATCCTTGCATTTCTAATTGTGGCTTATGACTTTCTTCTTAATTTAGCAGCTTTTGGGCAAAGTACCTGACTCTCAGAATAGCTGAAACTTCTCTAACTCTTTTTCCTTTAAGTTTTGCCTTCCCCAGTTACCCTCCCCCAGACCTGTACAGACACTTAGTACATCAGTTGCAGAATCAGGGAGAAAGAGATAATTGAATATTCACACATGCAGAAACAACACAGGCAGAATGTGGAACAATGTGGAAACAAGCGCGAAAAGAGGCGGCATCTGTTTATTGAAAATTAGAATGTAGAATAAATTAAGAGGGCAAGGTTAAAACACTTCATCTGCAGGCAGAGTTTGTAGGGGAGGAAAACTTTGCAGGAAGTTTAGCACATAGACCATATAAAGGGCTTATGTAGTTTTATTTTTGCAAAATGGATTTCCCTTACCCCCCAAGGACATGTTACAGAGGGATAAAGTGTCCACATAAAGAACAGGTTTCCAATAGAGATGATTATATATAGCTGTTTCACAGTAATGCCAGAATTAAAATGCTTAAAATGTTAATGTTGCAATGCTTCAAGTACTGAAGAACAGAGTAAGTATTTTTAGAAATACCCTCAATTCATGTAAGTGAATGCTGTGCTAATTTTTCCACCAGTGCCTATGCAGGTCATGCTGGGCCTTTCTAAAACAAATAAGAAATTTAAGCTTGCATTTTTAATGCCTGTTTTGGTGTCATTCTACAAGGAGGAGGGTAGATTCAAGATGGTGTTTGATGGACAGGAAGATGCAGTGAAGTTGTTTGTGACATGGAATTACTCTGCTGACATTTCCAAAGGCCTGTAAAGATACCACATCGATGAATACAGGGTCTGAGTTTTTACAATTTTTTTGTTGTTCTATACATACTTTCACACTTTATATATTAAGCCTGCAAAAGATTTACCATTTTAAAGCTGCTCAAATAGGCAAAAGCCATATCCTAGTCATTCATCATAAAACAAGCTTAATTATGCTAGGACATATTGACACTGCATCAGATTTTTAATCTTCAACATAATTTTATAACCATTGCTAACAGATGGGCTGATTACACTGAATTTGAGTTTTAAATAATAGTTAGAAATTCTAAAATATGATTAAACTGAAAATACCCATTGCATACATAATTTTCAAAAGCTACTGAAAAAAGGAAAACCAGAGCACAATAAAACCTCTTTTCTGTTTCCTGAGGGAAATACGTTGCATTTAAGTGGACAGTTATCAGAGTTCCTTAAATGGCCAAGCAGTGCATGCTATTGGCAGCTCCTCTTCTGTGCAATTACAACAGATATGCAGAACCTTATTCTTTCTATAGGCCTGCTGCTCTTATTCCAGCATAAAAGGTGTGAATTTTTCTATTTCAGAAGCTATTTTATTGAAACAAGTGCCTTCTCCATCTCTATTTTTTTTGTCATTGAAAATGAAAGCAAGGAGTAACTTAAATTACCGTGTTTCTGCTCTTTAATAACAATAACACATGAGGAATTCTTATAAAATAGAGGTACAACTTTGTGGGACTAATGGAAGTTGCATGTGAATTCTGAACAGAAGGTGTCTTTTTTTATGTTATCATTTTAAGGTTACTAAAGGGAAGATAAGCCAGACTTCTCTCTGTCTGCCATTGTTCATAATATGCTGGACATCTGTTTCATAGCACAAGGATGATAATGGGTCAGAGGTGATTGGTATCCTGAATTCTGGAATAGGAAAAATATAAAAAATGAAATACTGTCTATTCAGATCTCAGTTCTATATATTGCAGAAAGAAAAGGGTATAGTAGTCCTCTTTTATCCTGGAACAGTGCTCTGGCCAATGAGATCATCAAAGAAAATGCTCACAAGGCTCATGTCCACTGTCCTTCAGACAGGTCTCCTGTCAGCAGGGAGACACTGGTCACAGACCATGCACCAGGCTTGGGAAAAAAAAGCTTACTGAAATTAAATATTTTGTTAAAACTCCACTGACAAACAGCAATCCCATAGTTATGAGTAATTGATTAAGATTTCTGCTAATTTTGGCTGGGGTAGAGTTAATTTTTTTCACAGTGGCTGGTATGGGGCTGTGTTTTGGATTTGTGCTGAACACAGGGTTGATAATATAGAGATGTTTTTGTTACTGTTGAGCAGGGCTTACACAGAGCTAAGGCCTTTTCTGCTTCTCATACTGCCATGCTGGTGAGGAAACTGGGAATGCTTGGGAGGTTGGGAGCAGACACAGCTGGGACAGATGACCCCCACTGACCAAAGGGATATTCCATACCATATGACATCATGCTCAGTATATAGAGTAGGGGGAAGAAGAGGGGGACATTTGTGGAGTGATGGCATTTGTCTTCCCAAGTAACTGTTACATGTGATGGGGCCCTGCTCTCCTGGAGATGGCTGAACACCTGCCTGCCCATGGGAAGGACTGAATTAATTTCTTGTTTTGCTCTGCTTGTGTGCACAGCTTCAACTTTTCCTATTAAACAGTCTTTTATCTCAACCCGTGAGTTTTCTACCTTTCACACTCTCAATTCTCTCCCCAGTCCCACTGGTGGGGGAGTGAGTGAGTGACTGCATGGTGCTTGGCTGCTGGCTGGGCTTAAACCATGACAACATTCAAAATGGCTTAATGCCACTAGCTTTTCATTATATGGAAGAGTTTGAATGCTGAAATTTCTCTGAACTAGGTACTCTGGCTACAACTTTATTTTCAGCATCTCTTCTCCATCAGTTGCAGAATTTACAACTGCAGTAAATGTCTGTCCTTGCAAGCAGTGTTACTTTTAGACAACCTACTGTGAGAGACCCTTTCCTTCCGAAAAGTAAAATGCTGCCCTAGTGCTACAAAAATGCAGGCCAAAGGAAGAGCCTATAAAAGCAGAAATCAGGCTGCCACTTCATGGTGACACTTCAGGATCAAAACTGTGGCAATATAAAGCTGTCTGGATTGGTGACCTCTTAGTGCAGTCAGCCTGCTCACCTGCAGCGTGTGGCTTTGGCACATCAGATCTGACTTTAACTCAGACCAAAGCAGTCTCTAACGCACTGTCCTGCACCCAACAGTGCTTTGCCTTTCAGCCCTTTGCTAATACTGAATGCTTCTGTGAGACAGCAGGTTGATGATCAGCACTGCCTTCTGCAGCAGCATATGTGGGCAGGCCCTGGCTGGAAAGAAGAGAATGAAGGAAGGACTCTGGTAGGGTTGTTAGGAATGGTGTTGCTCCAAGCCTGTGAGAGGACACAGAAGCCTGAATGAGCTGGGTAAAAGAAGAATTGCAGCAGCGTCCATCTGTCCAAATGTAGTAAGATGGGTAATGTTTGAATATTTAAGCAAATACATGAACAAAGTCTGTAAATCATAGAATGGTTTGTCTTGGAAGGGTCCTTTAAAGATCATCCAGTCCAAACCCCCTGCAATAAACAGGGGCATCTTCAACTGGATCAGGCTGCTTAGAGTCTCATGCAACCTGACCTTCAATGTTTCCAGGGATGGGGCATCTACTATCTCTCTGGGAAACCTGTTCCAGTGTTTCACTACCTTCATCATAAAAAATTTCTTCCTTAAAACCAGTCTGAATCTACTCGCTTTTAGTTTTTTAACCAAACTGTTCATATGTAAAATATTACAGAAAGTTTTAATTTAAATAATGTTCATTGTCTGAGGCAGCTTTTATACAGACAGCATCTAACAAGACATAATATATAATTTCATTTTCAGGGTTTTTTTTCTATATTGTACTTAAAATCGGGATTTTCTTCTTTCCTCCTAATTGGTTGTGGATTGTTGTTTTGGTGTATGCTTGGTAAGTCAGCCTAGTCTAGCACTCTGCAAGCCTTCCTCTCATTAATATTATCAGAACTATCAGTCACATCTGCAAATGTCCATACCAAATAAGTAGACCAAACCAGATTGCCCATTTGGCAGTGGTTGATGAATATGATGCAAAATGCACTATTTCTGCTTACATTAACTTTGTGACAGAGAAGAATGATAATTTCCAAACTGTTTAAATTAGTTTCTCATGCACCAGGAGCTGCTGTGCATTTACATAAAGTCCTGTTGCTTTTTCAGAAACTTCCAACCACTAGAGATAGTATTAAATATGTCTTTAACAACCTACTAAACACATCATTAAATGCTTTGTTATAATATCTGTTCCATCCTTTAAAAGTCACAGTTTTTACTTTCAGGAAGTAATACTACAGTAAGACATTTGTTCTGTAATCTATTGGGTGGTAGGACTCAAATCTCAAAGATATCTCAATCTCTCTTTGGGGGGGAGTGTATTTTTTTTTTTAAAGAAAAAAGCATTTTAGCAGCACAGTCCTCCTGAGATGAATAAAGCTCCTCCGAGGTACAGAAGCTTACAAGAAGCTACAATGCAAATTCAGTAAGTCACTTTCATAATGAAAAGAACCTCTACGTTCTGCACTATTAAGTAGCCTAAAGAGGCTTTTAGTTACTGCATTATCTGAAGTACCGATAGCCGATTTAGGCAAGAAGATTATCTAGTTCAACTTGATAAGATTTGTAACGAAAGAGGAGTGGTTCTGAACAAGATTTTAGGGATTTTTGTGGAGCTATTAGACACAAAAATAATCTTTCCTTCTCATTAACACTGTAAAGTTAAAATGTGAGTAACTTTAAAAGTAAGAGCCTGTTCACCAGTGTTGCCATGAAGGGCAGATTTACCACTCTCAAAGTCCAGTAAGTAGTTTCAGAAATACTGATTATCTAGGGAAGTGAAAAATGTGGATACCACAGCCATTAATAAAAGTTCCCTGAGAACTTTAGAGAAGAAAAATGTAGAAAAAGTTACAGAGCTAGATCCATCCCGGAAAGATCAATAACACAGCAAAATAGTTGAAAATCCAACTTTTCAGGCAAACAGGAATAATGGCTAGCCTATGATCAAATGATGATAATTTCCATTAGAAGTTTATCCTCTCTTCTTTTTCCCTCACACTTAGTCTAAGTTAAGTGGATAATTAACAGTATCATGGCTAATGAAAAGATCATAGGATCCCTGGAAATTATGGATTAATTTTAAGAACATAGTATTGAAAAGGGAAAGAATGGGAAATCTGAACCTACCTTTTCTTATATTACCCACAAAGACAACAGAGAGATTATACACTGGAATCTGAAAGACTTAAATGTTTTAATACAAGTGGAAGGTTAAGACAACTATATACATTCTGTGCAACATAAACACAAGCTCTCTCTTAACAACACTATACTGGCACAACATCAACATCATCATACTGGCAGAACTCCCAGTGAATACACTGCATTCAACAAGTTCAGTACTAGAGAGCACAGGTTTTTCTTATTCTGCTAAAATAATAAATTAGGAAGTACAAAGTTAAGAATTTTCTTATGGACAGACTGAATAAGATTTTTGAAAGTACACTGTTAAGAGGGACAGGTCTCAATGTGAACTGAGTTGTGAAATTAATTTTTTGAAATCCTGTCTTGTATGTTGCAATAGAGGCTCTGTTCATACAGACATTTAAATATGTAATAAATTAGCTGTATCTTTCAGTCACCATCCATCAGTATATTGAGTTAATCTTCAGATGCATGACAATATTAAATACCACAGAAATTTTTAAAATTAATACATAAATTGGGGAAAAAAAACAACCACAAAATTGATAAATGTATTTCCATTGTAAGATAAAGAACTTGTCTACTGTGTCGTAGAGTATAGTTTCAGGTATTGACAGTGTCACAACATCCAAGAGGAAAGAATTAATCACCAGCACACTACTCATCTGCCTCATTTTCCAGTTTTTGTATCTCATTTTGTCCAGCCTCTGCGAGGTAAGATAAGAGTCTTTTATAGGCTTCTCTGTTGAGAAAAAAAAACAACAAAACAAACAAAAAAAATGTAACACATTACTTAAACAATTTCAGACATCCTAGGAGTAAAAGCACATAATTCCCAAAATCATTGTTTACATATCGGGATATTAAAACATGGGAGCTACCCCCCACCTATTCAACTGTTTTGTTTGCTGTGAATTTTTTACTATGGACAGATTGGAAGAAGGATAAGAATTGCATTGCTCATGACTAGAAGTGTAGTGAAGATGCCTAGAAGTCTCCTTGTTTAGTAAACTGCTGTGAAATAGAAATTCTTCATTTTAAAAGGCTTAGATGAGATTAGCATTCACACTTCATCATGTTTGGTCTCTCATTTCTGCCTAAGAAATTTCTGACTCACACCACAGCACAGTGATGTGAGCCACTGGCACTAAGGTGCAGGCTGGCACTAACACAGATTTAGACCAACATCCTCAACCAAGGACAACGGCTGTTTTAAAATAAACCTGGAATTCAGAAGGGAACTGTCACTCAAGTGGATTTTCCAGAAGAGTGCATATGTGTTGATGAGACTTTTCACCTTAAGTTCATTCTAATACTCTCCAACCTAGACAATATAATTATTGTTAAGGTACTGTCTCTGACATTTAGGTATTTTCTAATTACGTATTCTTGTCATGAAATATCAACTTGAGCAAACAAAACTGAAGTTTTCATACTAGTTCCCTGCAATAACAACACGGGACATCACCACTATAATGCAACTTCTGAACTTCGCTTCTTTTATATATACCTGGGTTTGCACTTACGTGTCTACAGTAATTGCACAGAATATATTAATATAATGTTATTTAGTGGCCAGGACTGAAGAGAGAAAATCAGGTATTAGTGTTCTTACAATAAAATGCTCATGGATCACCTCAGACTGCTGTGTCATGGAGCATATTACAAATACGAATTATTAATACAAAACATCGACAACAGATTAGATAATACACAGTTTTAAGTGATGAGGCTAAAAAAATTGTAATCGGTAATCTCCAAGCATATATTTCAGGAAGCTCAAGCAACCTGCATTCCTTCAGTATTTTATAGATTGTGGGATGAATTTTACCATAATAACAGAATTTAACAACAAAAAAAAATTGGCTATTAAATACATTATCAAAATATGAAAAGCAGATAGTATGGAAATCCTGCATATAATGGTACATCTGGCTGACCCCTGGCTGAATTCTCTTAAATAAAAGCAAATGTATTTGTTGGTACCGGATAATAAAAAGTGAATAATACAATTACAAATAAGTTAAATATATTTTTCGTTAAATGGAAGATTAAAACCTTGTGACTACCCTTTAGAGTCTCATGGGTTACGTCTTGCACAACTCTGTCTTTTGGACTTGTTATAGTCCAGGCTCTGCCAACACACACCTTAAAACTTCCCCAGGGTGAGGTGTCACTAGGATCCTAGCCTTTGACTAGTCCCAGGATGTGCATTAATGCAAACACTGGGGCCAGTTCCCATCCCAGACAACACGGAGAGTCAAGGGCAGCCTTCCAGTGAGCAGTACTAACAGAAGAAGCCCTTTTGGCTTGAGTGCCACACTATGCAGAGCTTCCTGGAGTTTTTTAACAGTATTCGTATAGAGGTGCTGAAAGTTCAGTGCTGCATCCGCACCTAGAGACACCACACTCTGTGCAAAGCTGCTCCCCTCATGTGCCATTTCCACCTAATGCCAGATGGATTCACAAGTCAAATATTTCTGTCCTAAGTTCTTGGGGCAAATGGAGGAAGTATGAGTCTGCCATGCCTTTTGGAGCCAGCCTTTTCTGGACACTGACAACTTTTCTATGTTTAGATTATGAGAGAACTCCTGAAATTAAGCTATGGGTATTTCTTTTCCAAGCATTTCAGATCATACTTGAATATACCATAATTTTACGTATGACCCATAAAGTCCTCTAAAACAGGGATTGATAGGAAAATTATTTGGGGCAGGAATTCTTTATTCTATTTTGCAACATACAGTGGAGCAAGCAGAGGCAACGTGGCTTCACATAAATTCTGCTGGTGTGTGCAGACCCTAGTATCAAAACATCTCTGGAAATATTTAGCAAATATAGATGGCTTAAAACCACAAAAGGCTTGAGTTAAGGCAGATTTCTGGCTGAACACCCTTAAAAAATGACTCATTATCTGTGCTGCTGTCGTAAAACTGCTTTTTTTCAAGAGAATAAACCTCTATTGCTCATTGTCAAAAAACAAAATGAAATAAAAATCAAACCTCTGTGCAGCATTTCTTCCAAGACCTTGTTTGTACTCCAAATCCTTCAGAGACTGTGTGATTGTGGGAATCAGGCTGGTAACTAACATCTGATCCAAGACTGCCACTGTTTCTAGTATGCTGAAAACCCGGTGATCATAGACAGCGGTATAATCCTGGATAAACTGCCTGAGGGGGACACAGAGGCACTTAATGCAGGGTCAAAACTAGATGCAGAGAACATGCCAAGAACAACTGAAGAGTCTAATCAGAACAAGCAATCTAGCTGCATGACAATTTTCATATTGTTACACTGGAATACACTACTTGGGATACTTTGTTTAAATGAAGACATGCTTTTGAAGCCTAATGCTAAAAATCCCACACATTTATTTTTAAGTAAATTGGCAGATTCTGCTGCTGTTACACCAGGGATGACTTGTTCCAAAGCACTGCACTTTGTAATGTGTCTGAATGCAAAACTAAAACATGTATTTATTATTTAATAAATAATATTTGTAAGGAAAAAAGATGAACAAGAGTTCTAGATTCAAATCTGCAGAAATAACGTTGGCATTTCTTGTAAGGCTCCACTGGACCTTCAGCAGGGTAGACAGCTGGATGGAAGCACACTCATTTGCCTTCCTGAGGGTTTGAGGTCTTACAAGATCACAGATTACATTCAAATCAGAAGTAACACCCTAGGGATGACACATCCCATGGAGGTGACGAATCAGGTACAGACTGACATGCCCGCAAACATCCATTCTTATTTTGGAGAGTCTCTCTGAAGCTTTCATCTAGACCTGACCTAATACAGCAGCAGTGCTTAAGGATTGCAGAATGTCTTCAGGTGTCAGGTCACACAGCTCTTCTACTGTATCCATGTTAGAAACAGGATTCATTTTGCATAAGTATGGAATAAGCATAATTTACATTACAATAATCTATCATTGTCGTAAAAGCAAATAAAAAAGCTAAGCTTGCTATATGAAGATTCGATCTCCATTATATGCACTTCAAATTAGGCACCCACATCTTTCACAGCACCTAACACTGACCATCACCATTTCTGAGGAGTTTTTCCCATTGCAGCAGTGACATACCTCCCTACTATATATCTTTGAAAACAGTACCTCATCCATAAGAAAGTAGGTATGTTTCCCTCTTCTATTTTTTTTCCTCTGGCTTTTTGGCCAAGCTGTGTTCAAAACTAGTGCCAAAAGTACCATTACTTAAATACCATAAACAAGCAACAATGCAGTATGTTAAGGATAGTTAGCTATTTAAAAAAAACATGTTTGCTGTCAATTGGCTTGCAGTAGCTTCGCTGCCAGTTGGCATATTTTCTGGTTACCTAAATACAGAAGTCAGCTGGGTGGCATGTTCTCCTCCTGACCCTGCTTGGCAGCCTTCTACCACGTTCTGTACAATGTCTGTAGATATTTTTTTAACTGTAAAAGAAAAAAATCACAAGATTCACACAGAGCTCTTGAACTGACCATCTGGAGAATGTCTTTCATGAAGACTGAAATTTTTAAATGAGAAGAAAAGGTTTCATTTTACTTTGATGCAAGTGAAATTACTGTGAAAGCAGTTAGATTGGCTATAAAGAACAGAATGAGTCACAGATTTATGCAAAAGTCTTATTTTCACCACTATTATCCTTTAAACATGCAGATTTTTAAGTACACAATGGTCTTTTTAAGTAAAAGTAAAGAGATACACACTTACTGGAAATAGAGATTTTATTTAAATGTAAGTTCTGTTTATATTCTTTAATCATTCCTATTTATTTAAAAGAAAGGTAGTCATAGCATTATATCCTGCCCTAAGTTACGTAGATCTAGTACTTTCAATGGTGAATATTGTTCTGAAATCCACCCTAACTTGTTTTTTAAGGGAAACAAACAAACAAACAACCCTTCATTATTTTATTAATAATCGTTTTTAAATAAATACTCAAGTTGCAAGATACAGCTCTTCCTTTATAAAGGTGGAACTGGGCTGCAAGGACTTTTCTAGAAGGGTATAGCAGAGGCCTGTCCAGGCAGGCAGTGAGCTGGTGGCTACAGCAGCACAATACTTCCAGCCCATTCTAATCCCCAGCCCATTGCAAGGTGGGTCCTCTCAGCTTCCAGCAGGTATGGCCGTAATGGCAAAAGAGGGAAGAAAGTTGTGTGATGATTCAGCTAATTTCCTAAGCACATCTTGTCCTTGAAACTGTTATAGACCAGAATCAAAAAGTACTTTATTAGTGAAAATTCTCAGGAGAAGTCAGAAGTGAATCCCAATTTTGCTTAATGCCTCTACTAGCAGCTTATGCACATTCATTATATAATGATAGGGTGAACAGAGTGCTTCATTTTTTAAGAAGCTAAAAATAAAGAAGTTCTTGCTATGAAACAAAGCATGCTAAAAGAAGAAAGAAGACTCAAAGATGCCTTTGGAGAGCAACATGCTACTTTTAATCCATTTATAATACATCTATGGGGAGAACACACGCCAGTCTTATTTGGTATCAAAGTTTTAGGTTGAAGAAAACTTCCACAGTTGCCAAGTCTAGATGGGAAGGACAGGGAGAAAGGAAATGCTCTTCAGATTCCTGAGAAGTTGACTGGTTCATCAGAGAGCAAAACACAGCAGGACTTCTCTGCCTCAAAGAGAGAAGTCCCAGACCAGTCAATGAAAAAAAAAACCCAAAAAAACTTGTCCAGTTTAGCTGGCCAGATGATCTTATTCACCTCATCTGAGAGTCTTAAATACTGGGATGAAAGATGCTCAGCAGTAAAAACATCCTACAGGTGTGGAGAGATGTACTTAAAGCAAACAAACAGCTCACCTTGTAGCTCATTAACCAATACCATGCATTTCAACACAGATGGGAGAACTAATTCAATGTCACATAGTTCAGTGCTCTGGGTTCTCTGAAGTACTTCAAGAATGAAAGCAAGAACGGAGGCCAAGCGAGGAGGTGGAGCATTGCCTTTGAACTGCATGTAGTTTTCACTGAGAAGACAAAGCAAACCAGAACAAAGTCTATAATTTGGTGGTTTTTCCATTCAATGCAAGCACCATATACCTTAAAGTAACTGTAATATTTCAGCAGGAGGCCTATTACATAGATTTCTATCTTTATCTGGGCTCAAATAATGGATTCTATTTGTCTTAGTCTTAGCAACGACTCCCAATTTGTCAGAGGACAGTGATGCCTTCTGACTTCTGTTGAGAGGGAAGTGAGAAATAAGAGCTATCATAATTACAGTTAAAAAGCCAAGTGTGACTATAGAAGTTCAAATACAAAGGCAGCATCAGAGTTGAATAAATGAAGGAGTTGAGATTCTAAGATTCTAAACCAACATCCATAATGCAGCTGTTATTCAACTATGTTATTGAGCTTTTGTGCTTTTGTAAATTCACAGTCCAACTTGTGGTAACAGCTCTGCTGTTATACTGGTACTGTTATTTTATTTTTGACAACAGTATGTTGTAACGGGACACCAATGACTGCTTTTGCTCTGACAGAATTAACACAATCATCTCCAGTATAAAATCTGGCATAAAGATAAAAGGTTGATCTGCAATAGGAGCAAATTTTAACATCGCACACAGGGAGTGTTCCAATTTGAACACCTTGATTTGTTGTTTTTCCACAAAAGAATACAAGAATACAAACTACTGTTGGTTTGACATCAATTAATGAAATCTGAAGACAATAAGTTTAAATTGAAGCACTCCAGACAGAAGAGTGCAGGTGAAAAGAACACAAGATTGGTTCATTAGTCAGCAAGAACACTCCAAAAACCTTCAAAAAAAGCTTTTTAGATATTTAATATTAGTCACTGTTATTTACTCAAACAAGGCATGCATGTTTACTGAGCAATGCATCAATTAAAAAACCAGCATCATTATTAAAACTCAGTAAGGGGTGCTCTTACACCTTTCAAATGGAACCTGACTTTCAGAGCTCTGGGTACTTCATTGGACAGCTTCAGAGCACTGAAGCTATGTGTGTGACTAGGCAAATGAAAGCTGTAACAACTTTACTTCTATATTTCTTACATTATGTGGTCTTACTTTAATATTAGCAACTCTAAAATCTTCTATCCCATTAATTACTCGGAAAATTTCCCACATTTTTTTGGGGGTGCTCTTCCACTAAAAGTGGGGTGTTTTATTTTAGCTCTTTTATTGTAGCTCTGACATAATATACTTCTGAAGGTGTGGTTCCATTGCCTCTGTGTGGCAGCAATATATTGACTAGCTTCCACATGGCAAAGTGGCCAGAAAACTCTGTACCTATTTGTTTACAGACCCAGCGACTGCCTCCTGACCACCCAACAGTTTGCAAATCAGTGTTGTTCACTTCTTCCACATTCTTCCCAGATCCCTAAGGAATGTTTCACACCTTAAAAATCACCAAGTGCCATTACAGCTTTGGAACTTTCTTTCCACTATCAATCTCAATGTTCACACATGCATGCACACATTCAAAACTAACTTAATTAAGGTGACAAAGTTTGAGTATACATAAGTTAAAAACATGTCAGAACTAAGATTGTGAAATCTTAATTCACTCCTCTAATATGTGACAATACAGACTTTACTTACAGGATTGCCTATTATATTTACTCAAGATCAACTCTGAAATTATTTTTTAATCAATATGTATACACACTCTTTAACAAATAAAAATCCAATTACCTTGGATATAAGCAATCACCTTGCATTCAATGGGGTTTAATTTCTTTCCCAACACAGACAAAAAGTATGAATTGTTCACTGTTCTGCAGTATTTAAAACAAAGCTTCAACCTTTCAGCAGCAGCGACACAGAATTATAGCTGCTGTTGACGTTGTGTGAGCAGTGACAGCACAGCGAACAAGCACCATCTCCCTGCCTCTATGTCTTACTCTTTCCACAGCCTCAGTTTTCCATTTCCCCTGGGTAGCTGACACACCTGTGTATACCCTGACACTTACAGAGCAATGAGGTCCCCCCATGCACAGGTAACTGTGGCAGCTATAAGCACTACACCTCTGTGACCCTAAATACAGTCTGAGACACAAATGTATGATGATGCATATTGGAATGTAATTCTTCTAGAAAATTACTTCCTTTTCATGTGACCTCATGCAATAGTTTTTCTTATGGCCTAGAACCTTTATCCTTAATTACTGTCTCACAAGTCTTTCCAGTTTTACTCTCCTGATGTATACATGCTGTCCTTCCTTTGCTCCCTGCCCAGCAACTCACAGGCTCTTCCTACAGCCACACTATCAGTTAACTGTGAAGAAAACAGAGGCATTCCCTCTCTAATTAGCTATTTCTGAAATCTGAATAAGTGATGTTTTTTACTTCACTAGTCCTTACCTTATGACATGCAAAGTGGTCTTCCGTAGACGGAGCATCTGTGGGGCTGTAATGGAACTGCATAAAGCAGTCAGCATAGGATGCTGTCCAGTACCAGGCACAGTCGGAGAAGAAGGGAGAAATCGTCCAAAATAGTGTCGAATAATGCTCCCAAGGAGTTGATTTAAATAGGCACCCTGTGTTTGAGACTGACAGCATATGAAGGACAGGCCCTGTAGAAGAAAATTATAGAAAGTGAGAAATTGAATAAATTTTTAACAATACTTTTGAATAAATCTTTAGCAACTGTAGGCTAAATACACACTACACGCTGCATAAACTGCTGCATACAGAGTAACTACTGCCTGTTAAATAAGCATCAGTAATTTGGTGCAGATATGATGGTCTGCAAGAAGACAGAGGCAGGCAAGGCTTCCAAAAGAGAGAAAAATCTTTTACTAGACTAATTAATATATTGGAAGATAAGCTTTGGGACACGCAAGCTCCCTTTCAAATTTAAAATAAAACTTTGGCATTTCAGATCTGAGAACGTTTCTGTGCCCGTTTCTTTTTCAATTCTGTATGTGGTCTAACGAAGTATATTAGTCAGGTAAGCTTTAAGAAGGGAGAGAAAGAATAAATACCTCACTTGTTTGTAAAGGACAGTGTGAAATTCTTGTATGAATGATATAGCAGAAAACTGAGCACTTAGAATTGAGCTCCAACAACAAATTTGCTTGTAGTCTAAAAAAATTAGGGTAAATTAGGCACCATTTATAAGGGATTTAGAGTGGGTATTAAACTCTGTTTAAGATAAGGCTAAAACTGTTGTTATTCATCCAATATAAGCTATATTGATCCAGAGAAAAATCTATAATGAAAGTACTTGCCCAGAAAGTGCTTATCTGAACACTACCTGTAGTTACACAACATATACATGATCCATTCCTGAAAAAAAGAGTAGTACTCTTACTAGTATGGGTTGCCATAAGAGGAAGTTAAGAACTTATTTCCTTCCTCCTGATTCCTGAGAGAAAGAAGAACAAATCACTAAGAAAAAAATAAACTCCCCTGATCTTCCATCTCAAGGGTCACAGTCAGCAGCACAAACAGAAGCCTCTTGAGAATAGTTTTGTCCAACAAGAATAATGATGTAAAGCAAGGTCAAGCACAACAGTACTTCAAACTTCTATTAGACTCCAGTTTTGGTAGAAGGAGTATATGCCTGAATATTTATGGTTGCTAAGGTAAATTAATACCCCCTAATACAGGAATGAACAGTTCAAGTTAAACTGCTTTTGTTCCCAGATACTGACAAAGAGTATTTCTGTAGCTTTTTGAATAGAAGTCCCTCCCCAAAAACATTTTCATCTATACCTGTCTGTGTGAATGTGACAGAACAATTGTTTCAGGAAAATGCAGGCTGAGACATAGCTGAGAGTCTTGAAATGGGGAGTTCCCACTTTTGGTTCCACAGTAAACGAATACAGGAAACATGAGATTTCAAGAAATGAGGCACTTCACTACCTGCCTGAAGACTTGCTGTAGGTGGCTCTCTTGAACACGGATTTGTTGCATTAAGGATTTAACTTCACACACTTCTAGGGCTCCTTGGTAATTTTAGCAAGTCTCAGTGATAAAAAAACACACTTCCTCAAACGAGGCTTTGACTGAAAGTTCAGATTCTCTCCTCCTTTTGCGTACATAGCGCAAAATTTTGTAGGAAAAAGCAGCTGCTGCTATATCAGAATTCTTAAAAACAAGAAGTCTGCTACTTCTTGGCAAGTAGCAGACCCAGAGAGACTGTTACAGATGACAGACTATTTAGTGTGTAAGCTTGAGTGTTTGATGTTTTCAATATTGCATCAGGCATAAAGAAGAGTTGCCTGTGTTTCTGTAGTACAGCTCATACAGAAAGACAGAATGCATTCCATAATCCAAATATCGGAACTGGCACTTCTAAGACTCTAGACTTTTAACACTAAAAATCCCCAAACATCTGTGATGAAGTGTATTAATTTATCTGATGAAAGGGACACAAAGAATATCACAATCTTCCAGAGGATACCTGCAGGAATACATGAAGAACAGAGCACCTGTGAAGAGTTGTGAAAAACTAACAATAGTTACTAAAATGAGACTTCTTCAAATTGAAGATCAACAAATGCTACACAGTATCAAGAAAAGCAGAAATTGGTTGTTATTAACTAGTAAGAACTTTTAAGAAATGATCCTAGAGATATTTAATAGCAATAAAAAGAAAAGAATATTAGAATTTAGATATCTGAAAGAATGCTGACTAATTTTTGCAGACCTAGTAATTTCATTTGAAAATGAACAAACAAACCTAGCCTGATCCTTCATAAAAGCATTTTTGTTTTTTGAGTTGAAGTAAATTGATTCTGGAAACTGCATCCCAAAAAACTAGAAAAAAACTTAGATTTATCTTTTGGACACAAAGGCCCACTGAATTCAGCTCAACACTGTGTTCTTTATTGTGGACTACTCCTTTTCCTTACAAAGTGCAGAGAGCAACAGACCTGAACAAAGTCTGACAACACCATATCCCAAGTGGCACAAGGGATAAATTACCAACATCGCACAATAGCTGCAAATCTCCAGGTACAATGGCAAAACAACAAAGTAATCACACAGAAATTTCTTCTTTTAAATCCCACCAGTAATTAACCAGTAATACTGTTCATATGAGAGAAAAAAGAAACGCATGCTATTGGACTGCAGTTCCGGACCAGGGATTTGAAATCAATCTCATCAGACCCCTAGGACAATCCCTACAAAGCAGATGGACTCTAAAGGGCTGATAGCGCAGCTTCCTTTTTCTTAACTATGTTCTTTAGCCATCTTCTGAGGTTAAAAAAAAAACAAAGACATTTTAAGAGGAGCAGAGAGGCATGACATCATCTGCTCCTCATTTTAGCAGAAAGGCAACTGAATCCTGTGCGTGTTCACTGCAGGAACCTTTTGTGGCCAGAGCTGCCTCTTCTGATTTATCTATGTATCTGTAAATCACCTGTGGAGAGCAAAGAACCGATTAGTATGGATTACTGGAACTATTCATTGCAGAAATGCCAAGCTACCTAATGATGACTTATATTATAAGTCCTGCTGTTGGAATAAATCTGCTGCTCACCAATTAATGTTGTACGATTCCTATTAAATACATACTATAATTCACAAAATGTATTAATAAGCTTGCTCAAATATCGGACCACAGATGTGGCTCATGGGAGGGCTTCTAAGGTCTGATCTCTGACAAATGCTGAGCCTGCACAGACCCATTAAAATCACTGGAAAATGTATGTGCCAAGCACTATTTAGAATGAAGCTCTTTTACTACTCTCTGTATTTACATAGAAATCAACAGTCTTCTGTATTGGACAGGATTCACACTGATAAATCAAGCAGGGTATCTTACCTTTCCTATCACTATGTATAAAAAGCTTATTCCATGGATCCACACTGTATTCTGCAAGACATCTCTAAACTAATATTTCTTCTCCAAAACAAGTTTCATACACCACTTCAGTTCTTTCCCATATTACCGGTAATGTGTACTAAAATTTCTCCAAATCATTCTCCAAGAAATCTACCAAGAGCCATTTCAATCTGAAACTTCCTATGACAGGCTTCAGCAATCTACTATCATACAAATCAACTGAACTGCTTTTTACAGTAGTGAAATACCTAGGGTTAAATTTTACATGCCTTACAATCTCATAATTAGGAACAGTCCCATAAAATTGTAAAATGGCTGTTCATTCATGTTCTTCATGCTTTACTTTCCGAAGTCAGTTGTTCAAACAACTCGGAGGGCAATTTTTACATTATATCTCAATAGAATCTTTCTTAGGTCATCAAATATTATCAAAACAGATGATGCACAGTGATAGAAATAGTATCCAGACAGTAACCCTTTAGGCAAGAAAAAAAAAAACAAAACCATTTAAAAGCTCCTAGAACTAAGCTATTTTGATAAGGCAGCATCAGACTTGAGTTTGAAAAAAACTTCTAGATAAGCTCCATGTACAGTGGAGAACAGACCAGCTGCCCAATAGCTGTCAAAAGCCACAACTGTATAGCCCAAATTTCTATATAAACACAAACATAAGTAAATACAGACGGTCTGAAGCAAGGAGAGAGAAATGCAATGTCCAGTCCTAATTAGTGCATTTGACAATTATGTGTGCCAGTGTAAAACTAAAAAAAGTCTTTAATTTTGATCTATTAAAAATAAACCTGTATGTTTGGGGTAAAGAAGGATGATGAGATGCAGTCATCAGTTTTGATGAATTGTGAAAGTAGTAATAAACTATGGTGTGGGAAGAGAAGGACCTTTGTATGTTGTCCTGAAAGATGGAAAAATCCAAGAATTCTATAGGATGTCATAAGATTGCTGCATCAATGGATGTATGAAATTAATTACCCACTACTAAGACTGATTTCAAATCCCTTTAAAACCTGGATCAAGTAAACCACATTAAGAGTAGTTGTTAAAAGCTTTGGAAAGAGGGACTTCTTGGCAAATCATTGCTAGCAAAACTAAAAAGCCTTCTGAGATCTCTAGTTTTTTCTGACAAAGGAGGAGCAGCCCATACTAAGGAGTTGAAGGAAAAGAAAAAGAGATGGAGCCTGGAACTTTCCAGTAAATAAATAAAAACTGAAAAGACTGCTGAGTAGAAATTCTACTCAAGGGCTTTTATACTTTGACTATGAATAAAGAATTTGCATGTGTAAGATATTTTGCATGGTCTCCAGACTCCTGTTTCTTTATTTTCATGTAACTGCCACAAGATTAAATTGTAAGCTGGAGTATTAAGAGGGACAGATCTATAGAACAATGCTAGTCTAACATTAGGGTGAATTAAGGCTCCTACACTAAAATGCCAGTGCTCCGCCTCCATGAATGAGCATCAGGCACAGGGCAGCCACCCAAGAAGGCTCTGATCACACATTTCACCTGCAGTTTAACTCGGTCAAGGTAAGGTTATTTCCCAAGAATTGTTTTTCCATCTCTCCTCCCACCATATTTACATGCTTTTCCTCCCACATACACTGTTCTATCACTTTTTTTTGACATGCCCATTTGGGTTTTTGGGTTTTGTTTGTTTGTTTTGTGGGGCTAGTTACTATTTGATTCAGCTCATAAATTGATATTCACAGAATCATTAAAGCAAATTAAATTGGAATGCACATGGTAATGGTGAAAGGGAATGAATTTAGTCTTAAGCCAATTGTAAAATAATAACCTGAGATGTCAGAGAGTGCCTAGAACCCATTCAATCTCAAAGGATCTCAGAGAAGTTATATTTTGTTTCTAAACTGAACTTAAAATATTTTCATTTTGAGTTGATTCTAAATCAGAATTTTTCCACTTTTCCAAATAAAAGGGAAGGAAGTATTTTTGAATGAATGAAGCATTTTGAAGTACTTATAAATGTTGGAACTTTGTAAATACAAACACTTAATAAAATGCAGAAGTCCCACATTGAAACAGGAAAAATAAGTCAAGAATTCTCCTCTTTTTCTTCTCTTACTAAGTGTTCGTCAAATCGAAGATTTACTCATTTTCTAGAAACAGCATTTGTCTAAAATAAACTATTTGGTCAAGTAAGATCATCTAGCATAGCCAGAAAGCATGTGGACTATGCAGCAGACTGCTGAAGAATACAAAAGTGAGGTCAGGAAGTCAGAAACTGGGAAAGAAAACAGGAAACAAGGGTCCACAACACTTAGACTTCAAAACCAACTCAAGTGGTTTCATCTTAAGACTACATCCGTCTGTGCAGACTCCGGAGAAACTGGCTCTCTGACTAAAATACTAAATTAGCAACCAGACAGCAACACTCTGTGGTAATATCATTGTCCAGATGGTCCTACATGTATATAGCTTCTGAAAATACCTACAGAGCAGCAAAGCAAGTCATATTCCGCACATCATTATATAATCATATTCACTTCCATATGACATGTCATCGATCACAAGGCAACTACTTTCAAAAGGAATAAATCCGAGGGATGTTTACAATGTCACCACTGCATTGTTTCATAATACAGTCTTTTGAAGAAGTCAGTTAAGACTGCAATCAAAATGAAGACTAAGAGGGAAGGGAAAATGGTAAGCAAAAAAGACCCAAGGATCTACAAGAAAAACATGTCAACTTATTTATTTAAAAAATACACTCTTTTCTCTTTCTCACCAGCAGGAATTAGTATCTTTCTACAACACCAGCAAGCCTTGCGTGGTTTCAAGAGTGATAGGGAAGCTGAGGGAAGAACAGGAGGAATAATGGGCAAGAGGGCTTTAGCCATATAAGAGTAAGCAGCAGAAACTTGATTCAGTAAAACATATTCTCAAAGCATAAAGACAAACCAGTGCCATAATATGCAGAAGATTTTTTTTTTTTGTTCCTAAGACCAACAAAAAAAGACTATCTCATCTATAATTATGTACAGTTACCCAAGTCAAAGATGACCTAAAAAGTATCTCGCTACATATTATTATTACTTGATCCACTGTTTCAGAAATCTCTCACATCAGAGACCAGTGTAACCAGTAGGTTGTCTAAAAGCTTTCCATATACAGTGATGAGACTAGAAGCTCTGGAGTGAACTACAGCATAGCTGCATGCCATGAGAGGAAAACCAAGGGGGTGGCAATTTTCTTTCCACTTCTCTAAGAAATAAAAACTCCTCTTGCTTTTTTAAATTCAGTCAACGCTTGTTTTGATTAGGGTAAAGGAAAACATCCTCTGCAATATGAATCTTTTCCTGAAGATATGTTTGTCTGCTGATAATAGAGTTCAGATATTTACCTGAAGATAAAGAGGCAGGCTTTCCTGAATGGCAGACAGCAAAGCCACAGGCAGTTCTTTGTCCTGCTGAAGCACAGAGTGCGGCAGCAATAAGCAATCCACAATGCGAAACAAGAGTTGCTGTGCCTTGGAAGTAGCCAGTATTGGTGCCCAGAACTTTACCAGACATCCTGTTTGGCAAAAAAAAAAAGAAATGTCAAGGCAATTTACAGTTAAGAAAAGAAAAAAAAGCCTAAAGAGGCAATTATGCTAAATTAGATAATCTGAAAATAGCAACAGCAACTGACATGTCTCACTCCCATGTACTCATTCCATGGCATCCCTTAAATAAAATTAGAACAAATCCAAAATCCATTTAGAGTTTATCCAAAAAAAGTGCTAAATTGACTCAATACATTACAATTAGAAGTTTTTAAGCCAGTGAAGCTGCTTTAGGAAAAATACAGAAATGCTAAAGAAAGGACAATCTCTTACATCCGTGCAGAAAACTTAACTAAACTTGATCCATAACACCATTGCAATCAGCACACACACACTTAAACATTTACCTTGCTGTGTGCATTCATCCCATTTTAGAGAGATATGCTGCCTTTGCCTTCCCTTCACATTTATCTAACACCGCTGTGGCTACATCAGCAACTACTCATGTGGGAACTGAATGTTAGGAAAACATTAAATATCCTTCCAATTGTATTTAATTTCAGCAGATTAAAAAGAATAAGGGGCAGCCAACTGCATTAAACCAGCATGGTCTCACCAGATCTTTGCAGGCTCTCAGTTCACTAACTGAGAGCCTCAGAGAACATATTTCTTGTTTTCAACACATTAACGTATCACTTGCACAGCTCTGAGCCAGTTTTAAGATCTTTAAAAAAAAAAAAGTAAAAAGGTGTTGATGTGTAAAACCCTAACTTTGAGAAACTTCTTTATTGCAGGTGAGGTGTAATTTTTCTTGAGAAAATAACTATACTCCAGAGTGTTGATACTCAAAACACACACTAAATAAAATTTCTATGTAGTGGTTCCCACAGACATTCTTAACTTTACATTTAATTAGAGGCAAGGAAAGGTTTCCTGGGTTGAAAATACAGGAATATTCCAAGCAAGCATGTTTAAGACTTTGAAAATAATGAAAAATCAAAATTAGGCTGTTACAAGATATTATTAATCTATAAAAGTCATTCATTACCATCTCTAAAAACAACGCAAAACAACATTAATCTTCTGGAGTGAAAGAAAACACAATGATCAATCATAGAGAAAGAGAACGATCACCTAACAATACTTCTAATAATGTTGTCTAAGCTTCCTGCTTTGAAAGAAACATGGTCATTCCAGCTAAAGTACTCTTTCTATTATCGCTCCTGTGATGTATGGGACAGTACAAGACACAATCTGACCACAGATGGGAGGTGTTTAGATTTGTTAAGTTTCTTGCTTTGTCCTTATAATTTAACAAGCCCACAGAATGTGAAGCAGTGATTGAAATTCACTTAAATATTTTTTCTTTTAAACCTTTTCTATGTTTTCTTAACTAAAAAGAATAGGACAATTTCTTGCACACAACAGCATGACTGAAGATTAATCGCTTCCTACTGCAAAGAACAGAAAAGACAATACCAATCTAAAAAGGAAAATACCAATCTAAAATTACTTTCCAAGGCTCCAACCCACATCTGGATATCTGAAAACATTTAATTTGATATATGTCTTGTGTATCAAAATATCCCGATCTTGCAATAGAAAAGTAAAGTATTTTACAAAATCCTAATTCCACTACATTTGATGCACCTTTTGATCTTGGTCATGCTTTCGCTGTGCTCCTTATAATCATGATTTAAACTGCATGTGCATGCAAATTATTATCTCTGTCTTTGAGATACACAAGGTTTACTCTATTTTTAAAAGTAAGTGGGTCAGACTGGCACAATTCATTGATAATACACAGCACTCTTCTTTTTCCATCCTATCAGTGGTTTCACACTGTCGTGGTTTGAAATCTCCAAAAACCCAATTTCTGAGTCCAAGCCTCCCTCCCACAACTCATCCCAGTGTGAGAGGGGTTTTCCAGACAAAACACAAGACAATATGGGGAGGAGGGAATTATATTACAATTATTACACAAATAAATATTCTAATACATTATATACACAATCCTAACTATCTCTCCTATGATAAAGCAGTATTTACATTGGATCAAATCTCTTCCCTCTCCAATAAAAGTCCAGAAGGGACGAAGGAAAGATCCTTTCCACGTTTAGGGCAGCACTCTCTTCCTCAATGCAGCAGTTGTAGCTGGATTGTTGTAGCTGGATCTCTTTCCATTACACACAAGGGGGTCTCCTCTCACCCCTCTCAGCCCTTCGGCTCCAAGTGAAGGTCTCTCTCCTGTGGACTGCGAAGCAGTGACAATGCTCGCTTCACCATGTCATATCACCAAGTGCAGGACATCTTTGTCAAAGTCCCTTCCTCAGGGGATTTACCCTGAGTGAGAATGTTTAGGGCAGCTTTCAGTTCAGTCCTTGCCCTAAGTGTTCTATCAGAGCTCCTTTGCTCTGTCTCAAAACTGTCAGCCTGGCAGCAGCAGCAGGGGAGAACAAGGCCACTTCCTCCGCATTCTGTCCGGCCGTCCTGGTCCAGCTTCCAGGACGTCTTGAGCTCCTCAGCTCCTCTCTCTGGTGCTGCTACATTCCAAGACTCCCCTCAAGTAGGAGTCCACCCCCTCCTCCTAGGAGGGGTCTCAAAGGGGTTTCGGGGGGATCTGATTCAGTTCTTACCCCAAAACTCTCTTTGTTGAGCTTAGTCCTCTCTCTCTCTCTCTCCATCAGACATCTCTGTGTCTCTCTGCTTAGCTGCATGCCGTCTTTGCTGCTTGTTTCTTATCTTCTTGGCTTTTTGACACAGTTCTCCATTCAGTGCTGTCTCTGCTGCTGCTCCTGCTGCCCACTCACAGTGGAGAAAGACTCCCCCAGCTATTCAGTCACAGAACTCGGTCCAGTTTAACACTGTTTCCGAGTTTCTGCAAGTTCAGCTGGGGGCTGGGGGGCCTTGAACCCCCAGCGGGGCTCCAGGCCCCTCTCTCTCTCCTCGTGGTCTCAGAACGTGGCCGCTACTTCTTCAACTACATCATCATCCTTCTTTTCCGGTCTGGTGTGATATGTTTAAATTTTGCAGGGGCGCTGATTGGGTCAACATCAAGTGACAGCACCCTCTCGGGGGTTACCATTTTTTTAACTCCAGGGGGAAAAACACTTTTTTTCACTACCACACATTTAATGAACATATGTTAGAATTGAGTTTTAGAAAAGTACAGAGTGTATGTAAGAGAAGCAGTTCCAAAGAAAGCAAATTACATTCCTAAGCCAACTTGGCCACTAGCATAAATTCAGTACATGCAATGTATGTATTATGTAGCCTGTCATAACACTGCTGATCATAGAATCATAGAGTATCCTGAGTTGCAAGGGACCCACAAGGATCATCAAAGTCCAACTCCTGGCCCTGCACAGGACCACCCCAAGAATCACATCATGTGCCTATGAGCATTGTCCAAATGCTCCTTGAACTCTGGCAGGCTTGGTGCCATGACCACTTCCCTGGGAAGACTGTTCCAGTGTCCAACCACCCTCTGGGTGAAGGATCTTTTCCTAATATCTAACCTAAACTCCCTGAAAAAACAGTTTTAAGCTCTACCTTACCCCTCCACATTGGCCCTAACCAAATCTACCAACAGTTTGCTGAATTCTATGACTCATTGGCTGCACTTCCATTTCTACCTTTACACTACTGTGGTGGTTTGGACCTTGGTTTTTCCCCCAGAGGCTGAAGAGTGGTAGACCCCAAGGGGTGGAAACCCCTGGATGTTTTGAAGTTTTGCCCAATGGGCGCTCCTGAAAAAATGTAAACATATCACAAGCTCATCGGAAGAGATGAGTTGTAGTTTTGGTTGTTGGAGAAGAGGTGGCCATGTTGTGAGCCACGAGGAAGGGGCTCTGAGCCCCTCGGGGCCTCTGGGGCCCCCCCAGCCCCAGTTGGGGGCTACAGAGATTTGGAACAGTGCTAGACTGGACTAAGTGTCTGTAGTTATGCCGGGAGATGTTTTTCTCCATGGGCGCAGAGCAGCAGCCGGCACTGACCAGAGAAAC